TTTTTTTTTTTTTTTTTTTTTTTTTTTTTAAGATTTTATTTATTTGGTGGAGAAACAGCAAGAGAGGGAACACAAGCAGGCAGAGTGGGAGAGGGAGAAACGGGCTTCCTGCAGAGCAGAGAGCCTGACGAGCCTGACATGGGGCTCGATACCAGTACCCTGTGATCATGACCTGACCCGCAGTCAGCCACTTAACGACCGAGCCACCCCGGTGCCCTGGAGAGAGAGAATCTTAAGCAGGCTCCACACCCAGCACAGAGTCTGACATGGGGCTTCATCTTACAACGCTGAGATCATGACCTGAGCCAAAATCAAGAGTTGGGTGCTTAACTTTTAAGACTGACTCATCCAGGCACCCTGGTGTTACTCATATTTTTATTAGATCATAGAGTATAATATTTTGGAGGTGGGGGGAAGGTTACTTGGGATAATGCGTAAAACTTCAAAGTAACCTTTTGCTTAAAATGTTGCTTCCTTATTTTAAACCCCTAAAGACTTGGACCAAGAAATTTTTCTTATATAAGCTGGGCCACATTTTGGTGTGCTAGGTTTAATTGTAATAACCCTTGTTATTTTTCTCTTACAGTTTTATATGTGGCACTCATAAAAGATGAGGCTGAGAACACGTAAAGCTTCTCAGCAGTCAAATCAAATCCAAACACAACGCACTGCTAGAGCAAAGAGGAAATATTCAGAGGTCGATGATAGCCTGCCTTCAGGGGGAGAAAAAACACCGAAAAATGAAACCGGCTTGTTGTCTTCAATTAAAAAATTCATTAAAGGAAGCACACCCAAGGTAATGGTTTTACCTTGTACTTACATCATTAAAATTAAAGTTTAGGTTGTTTTCTTTAAGCATGCAAAGATGAGAAGTTTAATATTGCTAGTACATTAAAAAATGTGTACATTTTGATGTCATTTTAAGAGTAATAACATGAAAAATATTTAAAGAATTCAAGAAAACATTTATTCTACTTAACTGATCCATTTAGCCTTTTTTTCAGCATAGTATCATGAAAAGTAAAAAATTTTTCCATATTTATGTGAGTTCTCTCACTTCCATTTTTTTCATTTCAAAGAAAAGTTAAATTTTCTTGTTAATATTAGTACAGTGATTGGGGAGATGATTTCTCTTTCTGATTTCTAACACTTTACAATGACAATGTATTATTTATTAAAGAGGAAAAAAGTTATTAAAGAAAAAATGGACACTGACTAAGAGTCACACGTTCCACATTCATACTTTGGACCAACTTGATCTGAGGAAACTCGTTTACCCCTCTGAACCTCAAGAAGACAGTAACATGGGACTAATTCTAACTGCTTTATCTGTTTCAGAGTTGTTTTTACATTAGATGGCAAACAGAAAAAGCAGTTTGAGAAATTTTAATTACTCTATAAATAAGATAGCGTTATTGCTATTCATTGTATGTGTTCAAGTAGACATTAATGAAAAATGCAAGATTTTGGTTTTAAAAAAAAAGTCTGGATGGGTGGGGTTTTCCTCTGTCTTCTGATTTTTGATCGTATTAATGTGGCACTATCGCATAACATATCATGATTTTTTTTTTCTCCTTTAATAGTAAGATCTATCTTTGTTGGTTAGCAGGTTTTTGCCCATATCAACTACACATTCAGGGCTTTCCTATAGAAATTACTGTCAAGTTTCTTTCTTTTTATTTTTTTTAAACCAAAATCTTGCATTTTTCATTAATGTCTACTTAAAGATGTTAAATATGATAGGGCTACTAAAAACCTGTTTGCAAACTAATGTCTATTCACTAATTTGGGGGGCAAGAGTTTTCCTGCAGCTTCAAATTCATTTAATTGTACTGTTAATCATCCAGATTTTTTTTTCTATAGGGTTATTATGAAAATTAATATTGGAATGTCTTGCTAAAATCAAGGTGCACTGTCATCCCCACTCCCCTACTCCCTGTTTACTAACCCTGTGTTAGAAGTAAATTAAATGATTAGTTTGTCATGTATTATTCCTACTGAGATTACACTGGCTTCTGATTGTTATTTCTTTCTTATCTCATTGTCATTAAATCATCTCTTTGATAATATATTCTAAAGTTTTATTGAGAATCTATACAGTGCTTATGTTCAGTATCTTAAGTAGTGGTGTCTTTTTCAAAATTTGGGTAGGGTTTGGCAGGTAATGTTTATTAAGTATATTTATTCATTGCTTTATATCTTATATCTCCTTAATTCATATAAGTATTTTTTGGTAGTTTATAGAAGAGAAAAATTTAGGCCTAGTGAATTTAGGTAACTTGGATATGTCAGTAACAACAATAAGTGTAATAAATGTACAGGATAAAAACGAATAATAAAGAATAAATGGAAAGGTAATTACTCCCAGTTATTGAGCAATTAGAATGTGTCATACAGTGTTCTCAGTGCTCTAAGTGTAGTTACTTCTTTAAACTGTACAAACAAAGGAAGTAGGTTCTATCATCTGTGTATTACAGGTAAGGAAACAAAAGCACAGGAAGATTAAATAACTTGCACAGGGTTACTTAGTTTTAAGTGGCAACACTGGAATTGAAACCCAAATACCCTGGCTTAAGAGCCTACACTTTTAACCCACAATGCACTGTTGCCTCTACAGTAAGCGATGATGCTGAGATTTAAACCCAGGTTTATTTGATTCTGATACTTATGTTCTTTGTCCTATACCATTTTGTCTCAGTAGCTGGGTAACGTCTTAAGAGCATCACCTATCTTGTGTAAGGAAAACACTTCTTGATGAAAGCAAATAAGGTTGAATCTCTTATACTACCTTCTCACTTTGTTGTTTATTTATATTCTGTCATCATTTCAAAGCTTCCTAAAACTTACTCTTTTTATAGGAAGTTTTTTCCACAGTACTTTTTGCATATATCTTCATCTCCTTTAGTCTGAGTAGATGATAAACTACGTTTCTTATCTCGACAAGTGTCCTTTTTAAAACCAAATCAGTTAGACAACTCCCTGTGCTGCCTTTTTTGTTTCTTTAATACTGTTCCTTTTTGTCTGCTTTTGGACTTTTAAAGTTACGTGGCTAGAATTGAACTTTTTAGACAAACCTTCTTGCTTTCTCTTTTGAGCTGTAGTCGTTTCTAAGGTATCTAACATTGCTTTCATCCCTGTTTCAGGAGTCTGACTTTTTGAAACTTGCTTGTGTTGTATCACCCTACTTTACTGCTCTCCTGTTACTATTATGATTTCTAGGATCAGTGGCTGTTAGTGCTTGCCATTTTATCACCACTGACCCGTTTTTATATTTTTATATTGCTAACAAGTTTTAATCTGTATTCTAATCTTAATTTTGTATAAATTAGCCACGAGAGTATATAAGTAAACCAAACATAGGTTGTTAATTTATGAATATAAGGGTTTGTATAATTTTGCCCAGGCTGCCCATAAGAAGATACCAAGGACTGGGTGGCTTAAAAAAGAAATTTTTTTTACAGTCCTGGAAGCTAGAAGTCCAAGATCAGGGTGTCAGGAGGTTGGTTTTTTTCTGAGGCCTCTGTCCTTGACTTGGATGGCTGCCTTCTTGCTGGGTCCTGCCATAGTTACCTCTCAGTCCTTTGTGTAGTCTGTGTTGTAATCTCTTCTTATAAGGAACCACTCATAATTGGATTAGGGCCTACCCTAATGACCCCATTTGAATTTAATTACTGCTTAAAAGCCATATATTTTTTTAAGATTTTATTTATTTATCTGACAGACAGAGATCCCAAGTAGGCAGAGAGGCAGACAGAGAGAGGGGGAGCAGGCTCCCTGCTGAGCAGAGAGCCCAATGCGGGGCTCGATTCCAGGACTCTGGGATCATGACCTGAGCAGAAGGCAGAGGCTTTAACCCACTGAGCCACCCAGGCACCCCAAAAGCCATATTTCTAAATATGGTTATATTCTGTGGGTTAGGACTTCAACATATGAATTTGGGAATTGGGGGGAGGGGCATGACACAAATTCAGCACATAACTGTGAATGGAATCTTTGGTCTCTTTCAAATCCAGATTTTATGATTCAAATGTTTATCACTTCTCTGATTTCAGAATTATGAAATTGTTAGTAAGGGCACTCAAGAATTGTTGACATGCAGTCTTTCTGCTTTATAATGAGGGTTTTTTTAAGATTTATTTATTTATTTGAGAGAGAGAGAGAATGAGTGGGAGGGGGGAGGGGCTGAGGGAGAGGGAGAGAGAAACTAAAGCAGACAGACTGTGCTGAGTTCGGAGCCATATTGGGGGGGGGGGGGTTGGCACTTGATCTCATGACCCTGAGATCACAACCTGAGCAAAACCAAGAGTGAGACACTTAACTATGCCACCCACGCACTCTAGCATAATGAGATATCTGATATATATTTGAAGTGAAGACCTCACAGCTAAACTATATATGCTTTATATCAGAAATCTCTCTCTACCTTTCCAAAAAGGTGGTTACTAGAGTTTTCCCATAACAAAATGATCTTTTCCTCTGTTCTTACCTAAATACTGTTGTGCTCTTGCTGTTAAAGTTTTTATTTATTCATTTGAGAGGTAGAGCCAGCATGAGAGGGGCTGGGGGTTGGTGGGGGGAGAGGGAGAAGCATACTCCCACTGAGTGAGGAGCCCTACACAGGGCTTGATCCAGGATCCTGAGATCATGACCTGAGCCAAAGGCAGAGGCTTAACCAACTGAACCACCCAGGGGCCCTCTTCCTTACCTGTTACATTAAATCAGTGTTTTAAGATCTTCTAAGTATAACCCTTAGAAAGAAATATGTCTTCCATTATACTCATACATGTGAAACAAAACTCACCCTTAGTATATTTGATATGTCTGATTTTTCTTCTCTTTTGTTTCTTATTCTCCTTTTAAAGGTGATTTTAGGGGCACCTGGGTGGTTCAGTCAGTTAAGCATCATGACGCTGGGGATCCTGGGATTGAGCCCCACGTGTGGCTCGCTGCTCAGCAGGAAGTCTGCTTTTCCCTATCCCACTGTGTGCTCACTCAGTCTCTCTTTCTCTTTCTCTCTCTCTCTCTCTCAAATAAATAAATAAATAAATCTTTAAAACAAATAAAGGTGATTTTAATGCTTTAATTTCCTCATCCACTGATGGGTTGTATCCCTTGGTTTGAAAAATGTGGTTAGATGAAAACTTTGTTGTAACTCTAACCTTTTTACTACTACCAAGCTTCATGGTTTTATTGGGAATTTTCTTCCTTCCTCCCAAAGTTAATATAAGTCAGTCTCTCTAGATGTGTTCTTCAATAGCTAGATTAATAAGTACTTTACCATTTATTATGGCATGAAAAAATTAGAAGTTCAGATTGGATGCTTATACATACGTAATCATAAAATACACCAGATAACTACAGTTTTACTTATTTTACTTAATCTCTAGGTCTTTTATTTCTTTTTCTTTCTTTATTGCATTAGTTAGGGCCTCTAGTACGATGTTCCATAGAAGTGGTGAGAAGTAACACCTTCTCTTGTTGCTGATCTTAGAGGAAAAGAGTTTATTTACAGTTAGGTATGTTGTTAACTAAATGTTTTTCATAGTTATCTTTTACTCATTTGAAGAAGTTCCCTTTTAGTCCTAGTTTGCTAAAAATTCTTAACATGTTGAATTTTCTCAAAGACTTTTCTGCATCTTTTGAGATGTTCTTCAGATTTTCTTTTATTCTTTTCATGTGGAGTAGAGCAGAAATATTTTTTAATGGAAAACTAAACTTGTATTGCTGGATTTGCTTTACTGTGTTTTTTTCAAAGGGATTTTTACATCTGTGTTCATGAGGGCTTTGGTCCGTAGT